AAATATAATTGGTTTTGACTATATTTTTTATCCACGCAATTTGGTTATTGAATTTTTTTTTAATAAAAAGATGTGAAGAAGGAGCATTATTCCTAGAAATCCACAGAAGTAAATGTACTAAATTTCAGGCGTGTGAAAAATGAATCCCATGTCATTTAATCATATCTTTTCTATTTCTATATTTCATAATCCACCTTGAGGATATGCTTATCTGCACCAATTTTTCACACTCATAAATAAGTTGTCCTACATGAATTTAACATCTTCAATTCAAAGCTGGTTACCCGCCAGCAATATAAAAATTTTTCTATCTGTGATGGAAAATGAAAATAAATAAGTAATGTATATATTTAAATATTAATTTTCCACCAATAATAGTAAATTTTAATTAATATTTTTGCCACCAACTAAACAAATAAATGCCAACTATCAAATTAAAAAAAATACGTTGGAAAATCAAAACCAGATCCCCATATATCTGGTTTCTGGTTTTTGGGGTGGAAGAATCTTACGAAGAAACCCCACTTTCTATGCCCAGATACATTGCATGTGGGTACCATTCAGTGTATTGTCGCGTACCGGAATGATTCTATTTCCACTCGCGATAATATAAGCCCTTTGACAAACTTCAACCCTTCATTTCTCTTCTCCCCAATTCCTCTTCCCCATCTTCCTTTTTGCCCTATCTAATAGGGTTTTCTTGATCCTCTAGATCCACTCTCTCATGCATTCTTGCCCTCAACATCTATACAACGCAATTAACGCCAAAATTCTCTTCTGCTCTATCGTTTTTGCTCTTTTTCGAGGGTTCCTTGGTGGAAATCACTGCAGATTTGACCTCCCGGGGTTTGTTGAACTGTACCCATGTCCAAGGTCATCGGGTTCACCGGTATGTTTATGGATTAATCCTATTGTGTTTGATTCCTGGGCTTGACTGTCATGCTTATCCTGAAATTCTTCTGGCTTGCGGTTGTTTAGAATTTTGGACATGCAATAGAAACTGAAGTTTAGTTTTTTTTTTTTTATGGTAATCTCATTTTGCGCTGAGATTTAATCGTGGTAGTTGATGATCGTGCAAATAGTTTTGTTGCCCCGCGATGCTTTTAGTTATTTACTGCGTTTTTCTCAGTTTCTTTAGGCTTAATTTTTTTGGGTTTTCGATGACTGATTGATATGTGGAGGATAGGAAAATATGCATTCTGTAATCAGGTTTCAGGGGTTATTTTTTTAGTTCTTTCATGATAGACCTCCTTTTCCTCAGATGATGCCGAGGGATATCCAGGGCTTCGGATTTTAGTCTTTGTTGTGAGCTTGGTTTCTGTTTGTAAGACAGCTAATTCGGTATTGGAATTATGTTATAAACCTTTTTGTTCAATGAAAAGAGGAGAAAAAGTCTTTTTGAGTGCGTATTTGAGATCGATATTTTCTGTTGAAAGTTAATCCAAATCTTAATCCTTCTGTCGATTTAGGAGAGCCTAATGAATTTCACAAATATACGTGGTTGTCTGTATTTTATTCCATGGTTTCATTCACAGACTTGGTAGTTCATATTCTGCACGTACTGGTCAAATCAACTTGTCTAGTCAAATTTTGTTTGCACGGAGTTAATTTTCCTGACTTAGCATGCGTTCATGATTATCAGGAGGTGACGATTTTTGCCCTGGGGGATCAATATACACTAATCCCAAGGAATCTAATCTATTATTGTCTCTTGGCAACCATGTTGATGTTTACTTTCCTCCTCGGAAGAGATCTCGTGTCACAGCACCTTTTGTTTTTGACGGAGAATGGTTTGAACAGAAGCAGAATACATCTATTGAAGCTTTGCCAGATGAATGCCTTTTTGAGATCTTTAGAAGGTTGCCCGTTGGCCAAGAAAGGAGTGCATGTGCTCGTGTCTCCAAGCGCTGGCTTATGCTTCTAAGCAGTATTTGTAAGGATGAAATCTGCAGCAGCAAAGTCACCAGACATGAGAACAAGTTTTGTGCAAAGGAGGCTGATGATCTGGAATTTGGGGGTGATGGATACCTGTCCCGGAGCCTAGTGGGTAAGAAGGCAACGGATGTTAGACTTGCTGCCATTGCTGTTGGTACTGCTTCTCGTGGAGGACTTGGACAACTTTCAATCCATGGGAGCAATTCAGATCGTGCGGTGACCAATCTAGGTCTCAAGTCTGTTGCCCATGGATGCCCTTCTTTAAAGGGGCTTTCACTGTGGGATATTGCCACCATCAGTGATGAAGGCCTTATTGATATCGCTCATGGATGTCAGCAGCTAGAGAAGCTGGACCTTTGCAAGTGCCCGGCAATTTCTGACAAGGCTTTAATTGCAATTGCAAAGAACTGCCCTAATTTGACTGAGTTATCCATAGAATCATGCCCTAAAATTGGTAATGACGGTCTACAAGCTATTGGGCAGTTATGCCCCAATCTGAGGTCTATTTCAATCAAGAACTGTGCATGTGTTGGTGATCAGGGAATTGCAGGCCTGCTTTCTTCACGTTCTTTTGATTTGGTAAAGGTGAAGCTTCAGGGTCTGGCTATTTCTGATCTCTCTCTCGCTGTTATTGGACATTATGGAAAGGCAGTTACTGATCTTGTCCTATCTTGCCTCCCGAATGTTGGTGAGAGGGGATTCTGGGTCATGGGTAGTGGTCATGGATTGCAGAAGCTAAAGTCTCTCACGATTGCATCCTGCCAAGGAGTTACAGATGTTGGGCTTGAATCTGTAGGAAAGGGCTGTCCGAATCTCAAACACTTCCACCTTCGTAAATGTGCATTTCTATCGGACAATGGATTGTTATCATTTGCCAAAGCTGCTCCATCACTTGAGAGCCTGCGGTTTGAGGAGTGCCACAGGATTACCCAACTTGGGTTTTTTGGTGTTATTAACTGTAGTGCAAAATTGAAGGCTCTTGCCCTTGCAAGTTGCTTTGGATTCAGAGATCTGAATTTGAGATTGCCTCAGGTGTCTCCATGCAAGTCACTCCAATCACTAACAATCTCTAACTGCCCTGGATTTGGTGATTCCACCTTGGCTGTTCTAGGGAAGTTGTGCCCTCATCTGCAGCATATTGAATTAAGTCGCCTTGAGGGTGTGACAGATGCTGGGTTGCTTCCACTGATGGAATGCTCTGAGGCTGGTCTGGTTAAGGTTAATCTTAGTGGTTGCATAAATCTGACAGACGAAGTAGTCTTGTCAATAACCAATAAGCATGGCTGGACACTTGAGATGCTAAACCTTGATGGTTGTAAAAGAATCAGTGATGCTAGCTTGATAGCAATTGCCGGAAATTGCCCATTGCTATCTGATCTTGACGTTTCCAAGTGCACAGTCACTGATGCTGGAATTGCAGCCCTGGGCAGTGCTGACCGACTCAACTTGCAGGTCCTTTCTTTGGCAGGCTGCTCTTTGGTTTCAGATAGGAGCCTGTCTAGTTTGACGAAATTGGGCCAGACCCTTTTGGGATTAAATATCCAGCAATGCAAAGCAATCAGCAGCAGATCCGTCGATTTGCTTTTGGAACTTCTTTGGAGGTGTGACTTCCTCTTCTGAGCAGGACGACTTAATCTCACTGCAAATTAGAACAGCCAGCTAGTGCCACGAATTGGAACAGGCAGGAGGTTTTTTTAGACGATTAGCGTTGCACAGTAGTTTTTGGGTCCATTACCTGTGGGTCTTTAGTCATCCAGTGTCTCTGTTCCCTTTTTCCGGAGCATACAGTCACTTAATTTTTATTTTTTTGCGGGTTTCCTTCAATCGGAAATCTGTTCAAAGTTTTTGGCTCCAATCCATGGTATGCCGTCTTTTTAAGTGACTGTGAACCTCCGTGAACATAGATACCGAGTTCTGGGGTTAGGATTCTTTGTTAGTGGTGTTTTGCACCTGATGGTTTTAGCTCAGCTTTGCGTTGGTCTTGCCGCCATGTGTGTCTTTAGTTCTCCTTTTCTAGTCTCTTGCAGCGATCAGTACTGGAGTCGATCTGATGTTTTGCCAAATCTTTCGCGTTTGTAAACTCTAGGCGTGATGGTTGGGGTCTCAGTTTTACTCAAAGGGCAGGTTCGGTTGAAGAATCTGTGGTTATGTAATCCTTGATGCAGTTTGTAGTTCTTAGTTATGATGATGCCTTGATTTCTAGGGCTTTGGCCGTGGCAGCAAGTTATACAGGTCTGCCATGACAATCCTCCCTGCCACATGGGGGAAGGGTTGTTTTTTTCACCAAGCCCTTGTTTTTTAGGCCTCATTTTTCGGGAACTGTAAACTGCAACATCTGATTTGAGTCGTGTATTATATTGATGCCTGCCCTTTGTTGATGTATGTTATGGAAAGTAATGAATAAAGATCTGCAATCTTCTTCTGTTAGCATTTGAGCGTGAGATGTGTCCTCTTGGATCTGCTGATTGTACTCTTGCTTGTTAACCATTTCAACAATGATCTCCTCTCCTTTCTGGCCTGAAATTGAGCAATAAATTCGGAGAACCGATGGCTGTGAATGAAAAACAAAAATAAGATTGGGTATTGTAATGACAAGATTGCCCTTGAATTGAACGCACTCGGGGAGTTTTTGGAAGCCTAGTTATAGAATGCTGACGTGTTCCAGAAGGATGGCTGGGCTGGGTGGAATCACTATTTACCCCACTGCAAGACAATGTTTTCAGACGATGCAATGGCACATGAACATCACACGCATCTGTCATGTAAAGCAAAGCTGAGCTATTATTGATTATTGATTATTGATTATTGATTATTGACGCCCCACGTCACTGGACTAGACATACGAAGCTTCCCTCGGTGCTCAGAAGCCCCATTTGCATTTTGGCCCATCCCTTAATTTGTTCGAGATTTTCAGATTAAATCTCATATTACTTGTGACTCGATTCTGTAGAGGCTAACAGGTAATCACTCCCTTAAAAATATAAGATATTTTTTAAAAATTAAATGTTAATATTTTATCTTTTAAGATGTAATTATTATCTTTTTTTTAAAAGTGCCTCATAGTGACTTTATATTTATTATAAGAGATTTAATAAAAATAAATATTAAAAAATAAAGTTAGTTGAAAAGTAGATATTTACTTTATTAAAAGTAAAATTCGATTAAAAATATTTTATATTTTTAAATGGAGAGAGTAAAAAATACTCCTATAATCTGATTTGTCTGCATTAGCTATTGGTAAATAAAATATTGAGTAAATAATGGAGGTTGGTGACGCCAGAGACAAATGATTTTATAAAAAAGACCGGTGAATCATGTGAGCTTCACTGGGAAATCTGTGGTGGTTAGAAAATCTTCCGTGAGGGGCAAACTTTCAGTTTTGTCAACCCTCTTGTACTGTGTGAATTATCATGGTCGAGACTTTCCACGCGCCTCAACAGTATCTGGCTTCAGGGACAGTGGTGTTTCTACAATCATATTTTGTCTAATCCTCACCAGACCCACACTTAGTTCACAAGCATGTAATCTAATCCTCCTAAGCACAGGTTTGTATATCATCTTCACCATTGATTTCTTTCACATAAGCTTGAAAGTTGTATGAGAAGCCAGTTTAGAGGCATTTTTAAAAAAAATAGTTTTTTGGCTTGCTAAACATTGCATTACTCTGTTCTGATACTGTAAATTTAGAGGGAGATGGTCTGTTCTGATGCTGTAAATTTAGAGGGAGGATGGTTTGAGATCTATGGGAAGGATTTGAAATAACTCTTGCAATCCATTGAATAGACATTTGAGAAGTTCATGGGATAGAGGAGAGAGCAATAATAGAGGGTAGTGGGGCCTTGTGTTGATTTTAGAACAGTGAGATCGTGGACATAATAGATTAGACGGCAATATCAAAGAAAGGAAGCATTTACTTTTTCTGAAGGAAGAAAAAAGCCATAAACAAGTCTCATAAAAGCGTTTACTTTCTCTTCCAGATGAACATGACAAATAAGCTCCCATCGTACCCAATTCTCTGGCTCACTCCTCAGGAAAGAGTTCAAGCTTGAATCTCACGAAAGCTTCCATATTATGTCCATGACGGTGGATCTTAGGTCAGATATTTATGTTAATAACCTAACGTCTATATTTGTGTCTTCTGGTGATAATAGCAGATAAGAAGACGTTAGGAATTTTTACAAAAAAGGAAATGACAAAACTTAAAAAAGAAATACATGTGACGAAATGAAAACAGACTCCATTAAAATCTGAAAATGATGCTTCAGCCAATTTTGGTCTTCTCGGGTCTAAGCATTAAATTCCAGGTATCATTGCTGATACAAGTGGCCCCACCCAAACAAGAAATTAAAGGCTTTGCGTCCAATTGGAAAACGGCGTCCTCTGGAATAGATTCATCCACGAGTTTGAAACCAAAATCAAATGAGTTATGTGGATTATGGGCTTTGCTTTTTATTTATTATCATCTTTTAATCCAAGGCCGCTCGTTTGCCCTAATATAAGCCTTCCTCCAATCAAAAGGGATGAGATGTAGTGAATGAAGTTAGTCTCTCACAACTTAAGTAACGAAAGGTTTGAATCTTTATTAAAAAATGTGTCTATATTTATTATTTGACTGTACTTCAAATAAAATTACCTTTAATAAAAACATACTTGCTAGTAATTCAAAAAAAAAAAAACTTTCACCGACCTTGCACTTGAAAATATTGGATATGAGTTCCACATTTGGTATTTGAAATAAAAAATACTAAAGAAAATAAGTTATGCGCTGCGCTTGAAAATTCAGTAGAATTACATCGTTTTCAACATACAAAATTTACTAAGGGCATCCAATCTGTAAATTATAAAGAAAATAGATCATGTTTGTGCAGCTCAACCGGACGTCAGTTTATTGCTCCACTTCTACCCGAAAAAAAAAAAGCAAATAAATAAATAAAGATGGCCTCATGAATCAACTTGGCAAAATTGCATTTTTATCATTTAATTTTATATAAAATTTTAGTTTGATCCTTTAATTTTTTTTAATCATCTAACTTTAACACTATTAATCTCAGATGATATGTTGTGTTTATCATTATTATTTTAAGAAATTAAACTTAATATATTAACATTTAAAAATATTTTGTTAAAATTTAAAAATTCAATATCCGTATATTTTGTTAATAAAATTAACAATGTTAAGGTTAAAAGTTTAAAAAAACTTTATAAAATTAAGAAATCAAACCTTATATGAGATTAAAAAGCTAAAAAGCTAAAGGTACACTTTTACCAACAAAATCCTATAATGATATACAAGGTGAAGAAATAACAAGCTCTCCAAATTCAAATCCTAATCATTAACTACTAGCGGAAATCGACCTGACAAGTATACATATTCGGTAAGAGGGTTCCCGAAACACAAAAAGCTTTTTCTAATTGTTCAACAAAGGCCTGTAACTTGAACCATCTACTACCAAGCTTCCTCAAAACTTTACCAGATATACACTAAACAACACAGGCAACTTCTGCTTGCCAAAATAATGTATGCCACAATTACTTGGCAAATAGTTACGTTGTTGCAAGCAAGATATTAATAAGGGCAAAAACAGCAACCTTGAAGAGTAAGAACATAAAGAAACAACGCTGCTATGGACAAGATGACATCACAAACCATAGAATGCAAATCTTCAAAACTTCACTGTCAAATAATGTCAGCTATTTGCCTTAACATTCACGCGATGACTCCACAAACTCTGAAAAGTTCAACACATGTTTATGTTCCTGCTGTTCGCTTAATGGTCTGCCCCGACTGGTTCCTGCACCAATGGGGGCTGAGGTTGCTCTTCAACCACAATGTCACCATTCACTTGAGGCTCTGTTTCGATTGGCTTGTCTGAGAGAGCTGTTTGATCTATATTCAGCGAAGGAGGTTCACTTGTATTACAGGACAAGGCACCATTCTCTTCATTGGCTGCACGATCCAATTGACATTTCTCTCTCTCAACAATACTGGACAAGGTGGTACCTTTATTTGTTACACTGGATGACGTGGTCTTCTCATCATTCAGTGCCTTAGATGAATTGGATGAACTGGTCTTTTCAGAAGGCAGTTTAGAAGGAAGAGATCTCCGTTGTGGCTTCTTTGGATGGGCATGAGTAATTTTCTTGGTGGGGTTACTCTTAGACACTTTCTCATCCAGACTTAGACGACCCAATTGAGCACTGCTGCTAGGACTTCCATCTAACTCTGGTCCCGTCGAATCCTTCCTTCGTCCAAGCTTAGGAGATTTTGCTCTTGTAGTTGGTATCTACATTAGTAATGTCCAATGGCTAAAATTTTTTATTTCAAATGTCAAAGCCGAAAAAACAAAAAAACAAAAAAAGGGTCTATGGTTCAGATAACAGACAAGCTCTCAAAAAGGATCTTGTTTTGTGCATAATAACTACATCTCTAAGAATTATGACATTGATGCTGCAATGTGAAAAAATCTGCAGTGACATATCATCACTAAGATGGATGACCACCATCGGTTAACATGGATACGGCTCATTTATGAAGCATCTCATGTTTCATACACATCTAGATAGCAACAAGGAGCATGACTATACAATTAAAAGGCATTAGAAAGCTTGCAGTTTTAAAAATTGAACATTCAATTCTGGTTGCAGTAAAGCAGGCACAGAAAGGACTTGTGCAACTGCCAAATGATATTCGAGGTCAATAAATAGAATATCCCCACAAAACCATCTATTAATATGAGGAAGTTTTCAAAATCCATCGGAGTCCAAGTGATATAAGTTCACCCACATCCACTCAATTAATTCACTGATAGATAGATATAAGTGAAATGAGGCAATCTATGTCAATAAATCAAAAGCTATCAAATGTTCGTAACAAAACATAACCTAGAAAGCCTGCAAGCACAGTTCAGCTCAATTAATCAGAACTTAAACAAAACAGCTTAACATATGTAACTCATGAAATCACAATCCACGTTTATTTCTTATAAAGATTGGTGAAAGCAGCTTACAGGAACAGTTGCGGCAATACAACAACTGATAGATAGTCTTTAAATTTCTAACATGAACAGTCAAATTCACAAATTGAAATCAGGATTAATGAACTTCAACACACAGAATTTTAAAATTATCATACGCATAAAGCACTTTAGTCAACCTCTGCAAATGTTCCTCCAACAACCTCAGAAAATACAGCTTTCCATAGCAAAATCATTATTATATGGTACATAAACGACATCCATTATATAATTTAGAACATTCTCATCCATCATCATCTATATGATATCTAAATTGTCTAGTTGTAAACAAAATCAAATTTTATGACCATTGCCATAGAGTCCAAACATGCAGCAATTAATAAGTATTCTACCAATGGAAACTTCTTTCTAACAAGCCAAAAGAGACAGTAATGCTTGGATCAAAGGGTATCAAATAACAAGCAAGACATATTGACTCAGACAGATGCTAAGTAATGGAAACAGGGGTATGGTGAGAAGAAAGCTTTCACCCCCCACGAGGACACTTCTGGCTAGGTTTAACACAATCCTATATCCTCTGACTATTCTCTAAAGCTATATGCATTGCAGATATGTGTATGTCTGTGCAGTTGCTATTCAAACAGCACCACAGACATACAAAGACATGCCAACCTTTGTTCCCTCTGCACCACCACACACAGAGAAACCCACCTTCTTTAGCTCTGCCTTTGGAGGAGGAGGCTCCTGGTAAAAGCTCGGCATTGGAGTCGCTTTAAATCCTAGACTCTTCCTAAGCATCTTAATTTCAGCTTCCTGGCTCTCCTATAAAAGAATTGTGCAATTAATGTGATTAAGGGAGCATATAACAGTTACATTTCAACCTAAATATATATATATATATATATATATCACTACCTTGGTTTTTGCTTGCAAGTTACTCTTCTCCACTTCCTTTGCATGAATCTTTTCCTCAAGCTTAGAGTAGAACTGTCCAGCAAAATATAAATTTCATTTGAACCTACAAAGTACAAACCCTATTGCAAAATAAATCTGCAACATAAATAATATGCTAGAAAGTGGAATCTACCTCTTTTCTTCTCTCAGCTCGTTCACCACACCGGAAACTAAATCCATAATTTGGAAGCGTCCCCACCTTGGGAGGTTTGGCATCTTCTGCAGTGATATTTCTACAGAGTGGACTAAGGATAAGCAATAATCGTACATATCACCACAGACACCAAAATAGACTTACTGCATGTACATAGAAAGACCTCGAGTGCTTCCACTTGAACTTACTATAAAGAAAAGGATACAGAAAAGACCTTGCCTCTCCTTCAACTTTATCAAGAGTTCCTTTCTTCAATGCTTTTGGTTTTTTATTCTCTCTGTGTACAATAAATCACGGTTACAAGTAGAATAATTACCATCAATGCTTTATATCAAAATTTTCTATCCTCAAAGTACTTGTATACACAAATCAATACAAGGAACATACACAGGTGAACCTGAGGATGCTGCATCAGACTTATCAGAATGCTGAGACAAACAAGGCGTAGAACATTATTAGGGATTGCCCATGTCATTCAGTTTTAACAATGAAAAAGAATTAGAAGAGAAGAAACAAAGGGAGGCAAATAACGAGTGCTTCAATAAAGATTAGGCAAAGCAGGCAAAGACAACAACAAATAGTACCCTGGAAATTTGAGTCTTGCGGTCATTTAATGATCTGCTTTTAATGGGCTGCTGAGAGTTCAGAGTCAAAGAGCCATTTAACAAAGAGGTCTGTGCCTCTTCATCCTTTCTGTCCTTACTTTTCTTCACCCCACTTGTATGAACACCCTTAGGATTAGCTGGCTTCAAAGCCTTGGTCTTGACAGGAACCTTTGATGATCTTAATTGTTGTGATTGATCTGTAATTTTCACTTCCTCTTGCTAGAACAATAACACATAAATGAGATTTTTGAAAATGCAAAATATCTTGATGAAATCAACTCAAGAGCAAAAAAGTCACTTGCCTGAGTAATGGCTGCATTGCTGCTGACTGTGCTGTCATTTGATTCCTCTTTGCTTTCTGCAAAAGATATGTCAGTTGCAGGGCTATCCAACAGAACATCATTTCCCAAACCATTTTGAGCTACAGCCTCTGCAATTTCAGCCACAATGGGTTCAGCATCATTTGGAACAACATCATGCTTTCCAGAGTCAGAAAGTTCTTCATCAACACCATTTTGATGGGCTGTTTCAAGTCCAACAGCAGGTGAAAGGTTACTTGAATCCATCATTAACAAAAACCTGCAAGTTGCATATAGACAACGAACTGAACTTAGAGATGATTCAAGACGAGAAAACCACAGCACTAGAACTTATATTCTTGCAGAAATGTCTCACCAATTCTATGGTGTTTATCTAGAAGATTTACCTTGGCTTTCTCAGCCAGAATGGCTTTAATCGAGTAACTAGACTAGACTTTCAAGTTTGCATACATTTTAACCTTATCATTTCCACAATGAATTTAGTTATACAACACAAAGAACAAAACAGAATGCCATTTTTCAGAACACAGACTCATAAGCCTTTAGGTCTAGTTGCAACTTACCCACTAGAAGGAGAAAGATAGGAGCGAAATTACAAAATTATAGACCTGTCATGTGGGAGTATAACAGCATAAGTTATTTACGGGATAAAAAGGGAGAAAGGAATGCGGTAACACAATCAGAATTTAGATATTTCAATAAATAATGAGAGTATAAACCCGGCGTTTCAAAGGCATGGATATTAATCAGCAGACGCACTGTGCTGAATAAAAAGATGCATAGAATCTCAGCTTAGTAGCCAAAGGCAAAAAGAAAGACGAATTTGGCTAGCGGGAAACTAATAAGAGGGAGAAAGAACCCAAAGGCAAAAAGAAAGACGAATTTGGCTGGCGGGAAACTAATAAGAGGGAGAAAGATGTCTACAAGGCTTCAATTGACAGAGAACTAATGTATAGCTCAGAATAAACTAGCTCGTGCGGCATTTTCTCAGGAATCAAATGAAGCACGAGCAGTCAAGTAATAAACTCAAAAGAAACACTTGGATATCCACTAATAGTGTCAACAGATGATGACCACAAGTCTGCAGACAAGCAACTGGGGATACATACACAACAACTAAATCGACTAGCATCAAGTTGAGAATTTCTTATAATTGGAATGCAAGGGGAAAAAGACCAAAAAAAGAAGAGACTTTCTTCATAATTGTCTCTTCCAAAAAGTTTGCCCACAAACTGAACACTTGACAATTGAAATTCCACAGTCCTCGCTACCTCGTAAAAGAGAACAACAGTCAAAATGCCATGAAACCGCGAATAGCTATTTAACCAGGGATTTGCGGAGGACCCAAGAGATCTGGCCGAGAAAGCAAGGGATAAGCGGCAATGGGGATGGATTTGACGATCAGATAATCGGAGCCTGTAAGATCCGAAAGATTCAAAGTGAGTTGAGGAGACTTATTAATGAGTAAGTGGATTTTGTAATTCAAAAATGAAGCGGTGGGAGAGAGGGGATTACAGTACAAGAGTTTTACAGCAGGAGCCTCCAAATCCAACTCGGGGATGACTGAAGTCGCTGTCCGCAAACGTAGAAGAGTCAGTCGGATCGAAGAGTGAGAATATACGGTTACGTTCAGCTCTACAGTTATTGTACATACGGTTTTCACGAAAATAACGCACTCCACAACGAAACTTGCAAGTTGCAACTAACAGTCTTAAATGTCTAACCCCGTCCATTGTTTTTTTTTTTTATTTTTTATAAAAGAAAATTATAATTAATTTATAATTAAACCAAGAGATAGTGAAAACTTTTAAATTTGGTTCTCGAAATTGTCCCTTTAGTCCCTAAAATTTAATTATTATTCATTAATGATGAAGATTAAATTTCAAAAATAAAATTAATAACTGAGTCAAATTTAAAAGATTATAAATTTTATTATCTCTTGAACAAAATATGCAAACTATAAATTTAAAGATGTTTACTTTCTCTTTTCAATGTTATAAAATATTTTTAACGAATCGTGTTTCCAATGAATTAGTTAATACAGGAATATATCTTAAAAATTCTATAACAAGTAATATCATTTATAGAATATGGAAATTGAGGTGTGGTTTATTTTTCAGATGTTATGTGACATGGAAAAGTATATTTGGTTTCTCAGATCATGATTAGTGAGACGTAATGTACAGGGTTTAATTTATTTTATTACATGAGTAAACTGATAAAAATATTATTTGTAAAAACTTATTAGTTAAATGAAATATTTTTCGTAGAAATAGAAAAAAAAAATTGAAAGAATGTAAGTAAAATAACAAAGAAGAGTACAAAACAGTATAATCTCCAATCGAAGGTCCCAGAGGAAGGGGGGAGCTTAAAAAAAGTAATGGCAACTTTAATTTAACCAAAGCTTAAATTGAATTAATATAGACTGATAAAAAAAAAATTAATATGGCAATATGTTTTTCATTTTTATAAAACAAACTCTGCTCACGCTCTCTTTGTTTTTTTTTTTTTTAAAGTGCAAAGAAAGCTTGACAATTTAGATAGTGTCCTACAATCTTTCAGCACACACGCATGTTATAGATCTATCAAGAAGCAAACTTAATTTGTAAATGAATATTTTAAAACTGCAAAACATGATTAAAGTAGATATTCAAATTTCTAAAAAGTGCATTGAACTTCCTTCGAACTTGTTTAATGAGAAGATGGTTCAAAGAGGAGGGGAAAAAACACGCGGTTTTGAAGTTGTTTGACAAACAATATTGAAGTTTGCGGACTTAACGATAATTTTATCGTTTTACAATTTTACTGATCATGTTGAGAATAAAATTACAATATGATATTCTTTTTTTTTTTGAAATAGAAAATTTAAAATTTAAAATATACATCAAAAGGTTACGAGGGCTAATATGCATTTTGAATTTATAAAATCAAATATATTCAAAGAAACCTCAAGAGCTAGCCTAATTTATTTTATTAATAATTAGTTTATAAAAATTGGTCATAAGTATTAGCAGTGTATGCTAGATATAGTAATAACCAATAATGAATTATTGAAGACGACAAATAAACCAACAAGGAGATGGCGCGTGGGAACATGAGATGTCATCCACAAACACGACACAGCGTTCGTATTTGGCAATTGCTTCTCCAATGGCCACCGTGATTGGATAATCAATTTTTTATTGTCAGTTTAAATTTTAATTGAATATAATAAATTAAAAAAATAATTACTCAAATGATATATTTTAATTATAATTAATTATATTATAACGTAATTTATTTTAAATATTATTTTTTAAAATTAATTTTAAAAGAGTTGAAGATATTTGAATAATTTAATAAAAATTAATTTTTAACTATATAAATTACTATATAATTTAATTCTTAAATATCAAATATTAATTTTTTAAAAATATAAAGTTTGAATTTTATTAAAAAAAGAGAGATAAAAAGAGAATTTAATTTAATTTTTATTAAATTATGTGCTTTTTTATAATTATTTTTTAGGCTTGTCTTTATAATTTTTTCTAACATTTTTTACAAGCTTTTTTTATAGAGGCTCCGATTCTCAGCTTCTGAAAATAATCAACTTTTAACCCAACAATTGATTAACCAAAAAGGTGGGTGTTTGGATAATTTTGTGGAAAATTAATTTTTTGAGCCAAAAATTAATTATTTTTACTATCCAAACACACACTTAACTTTAATTAGATAATTAATTGCGTTTGCATTCCAAAACAAACATCTCTGTTGTCATGAAATATCAAAATCAAAACATGACCCGTAAATTAATTATTTCATCTTCTTTTGTTGATGATTGGGTGCCAAATCGATCAACTTTTATTTGTATAATTATTGTCATTACCTGTTTTAAAAACAACACCATAAAATAGCATTTAAGTTTGGTTAGTTAGAATCCTGCCACGGAAGTTTAGGCGAGTCAATTTAATTTATGAATGCTTTATTGGGAGATTAGATCACTACAAGTAACGAGTCATATCAAAAGGGTTTGGTAACAATTAATCAAAGTGCAATCCAAATAAAATCAAGTAGAAATTGATTAAGCCATCCAGGGAAATTGCCGCATCCATCCGTCCAGTGGACCTTAGATCAGGGGATGCAATATTTTTTTAGACTTTAGCTAAAAATATTTAAAAAAATTTTGAAACTCAAATATTTTTAAAATCAGGTTAAAGGGTGTAAAATATTTGAAATAGGAGGTGTAAAATAGTGAAACATATAATCCCTTCTTATAACTTTTTCCAAGTTTAGGGGGGGCAATGCCCCCCGAATTATACCTAGCGCCGCCCATGCATCCGTCATAGTTTATAAAATATATTTTTTTCAATCCAACATGAAATCAAATAAAATAAATCTTAGTAAATACCCTTCACAATTTTATTTTTCATAATATAAATATAATTTTTTTAAAGCGCCATTAGTTTAATATAACATTATTCGTGAATTAGGGAGATAAAATATCATAAAAAATGAAGAGTAATATTGAAAAAAATATGATTAATAAAATTTTATTTTTGTCCAAGTAACTTATATTTGAGGACATTGAACCATCTTTGAGACAGAGAGAATATCTTTGGAGGAAAATTGATTATCGCCCTTTTAAGTACGTTGATTTTTAATGGATAAAGGTGCAAATTTGGCTACAAATTAATTTTTGAGGAGCATCTAGTAGCCTAAATTATCAGATGGTACAAAATAAATCACGAACATTCAAAAATGGAGCATTCAATAACCTGCCATTAAGTTAAGCTAACGGATGTTATATGGGGCTCACAATGACACGTGACACGACATAGGCGTGACACGTTAGCATGGTAAAGGTGTAAATTTAGCCACGAACTATTTTTCGAGGAGCGTTGGGTAATATCTACTGTAAAAAAAATGGATAATCCAACACCTTTCTCTCAATTTTGACTAAACATAATTTATTTTCATACTTATGAGGTCCACAAAGCATTAATCTCTAAATCTTCTTGCCTTCATTCTCAATTTCAACTCGAGAATAAGAGATTCAAAGAGTTTTTATTTGAAAATATTCATGAGGACGACACTAATAAAGTAGAAAAAATAATTCATGACTAAATTAAGTTAGAATCAAGTTTTTACTTCATTGGCATCGTCCTTGTAAATGTCTTCAGATAAAAACTCATTGAATATCTTCTTTTAAAGCTTATATTGAGAACAAAGGCAAGAAGACTGGGAGATTAATGCTTTATGGGCATTATAAGTATGGAAATAAATGGTGTTTTAGTCAAAATTGATGAGAAGATGTTGGATGATCCATTTTTTTTATAGTAAAAGCTACCCAATGCTCCTAGGAAAATAATTCATGACTAAATTTGCACCTTTACCATGTTAACGTGTTGCGCCCGTGTCGTGTCATGTGTCATTGCGGGCCTCACATAACATCTGTTAGCTTAAGGTAACGGTGGGCTATTGGATGCTTCATTTTTTAAAGTTCATAATTTATTTTACATCATCTGATAATTTAGACTACCAGATGTTTCTTGAAAAATAATTTATGATCAAATTTACTACTTTATCCATTTTTAATTCATAAAAAATGCGCATCAGCATATATGTGCATGTGTGATGAAATACTAAAATGTCTATCGTTGATATTTTAATAGATTCATGAATTATTGTGTAATGTAAAATTGATTTGTAAAAATTGTTATTACATTTTTGCTGGGAGAAACTTCATTTAAATTCTGTCATTGCGTCAACGCGCAGGGACATAAGCGTCAGATTTTGTCAACAAAAGTATATACAATGCTGATATAAGTATGGTAGCCTTTTCGTGTAAATGACAAATGAAAAGAAAGCGATGGCGGTGTCTATAATTCAAAAGTAAATTAAGGGTTTCAGGAAACTAAATTTAAACCACCTTTACAACTCAACTAGCTGGGTTTTAAGCCGTGCGGCACATAAGAATTAATAATAGTTTTTAACTTTTGCATGGATATTGTAAAAACTTACTCGAAATATTTTTGAATATTTGTAACGATTTGTTATGGTAATCAATCATGAAATGAAGAAATGAAAATTTTAAAATAATTTATTTTCATGTACTTGTAATGTGTTGCTTTACGTAAGTATAAATTTAAATAAAAATTTATTCTATTTTAAAACTTATTTTACCCAAATATATTAAAGATATTGCCCCCTAATGAATTTAAGAAAGCAAAACCTATATTTGTGCCCTTCCAAACTTTGAAATCCTGTTGAAGAATAAATTTACCGTTAAGTTCTACCACATAATTAATTAAAGAAAAAAAAATATTCTCCAACAAATATTATTAGATTTGTCACTATTTTCTTTGTCTAAATTTCTAAGAAACAATTTATATTTTACAATGCACTGCCCTTATGCATTCTAAAAACTATAAATCTTTGTTTAATTTAGCATATGATGCAAAATAAAATTAGTTTATTTTCTTTAAGAATCTGTTGGTCCATGCATCCTGAGAAAAATAAAACATGTATAATAATAAATCATACACTATAATTTATGTCATAATAATTCTTATAAATCATAATTATAGATAAAAGTAAAAATAAATATGAATAATGATTTTAAATTAAGCAAGTAGAATAACCACTATTATAGTACCATTTATTAATCATATATAAGCCTGTA